AAAAAAAAGTGGCATCACACTTCAAACTAGCTAATCCATGAGAACTATGTAAGCTAAATCATAGCTACATTTGATATCCAAACACGTGGATGTGCGGAGGTGGAGTGGTGGCAAGTGCGCACTACCTCACACGCACGGTCAGTGTTCAAAACCTGAATCGGTATCGGCTTAGGTCAACCAGGCCTTCCATCCCCCTGGGGTCGGTTAATTGGTACCAGACTGGTCTGGGAGGGTGGAACACTGACCTGTTCCTCGACTGGCGACCGCAAGTCATTGTAAAGGCCGCATACGATTTATTACGCCAATACGGTTCTGAATGGAAGTCGAATGTAGGGGCGCATCCTTCAGATGGGACTGGTTAACGTCCCAAGACTTTATCCTTTTATTTAACATGTGGGTCATGATTTTCCGTGACAGCGTTGACTTGCCAACAAACGGCCAGATTAGCATCGATTTACCTCAGCTCCATATGAGCATATCCAGTGCAGTTCTGCTATTCTCTAAGTTGATAAAATACTTTTCCTCCAGATGTCACCGTTCTGGTTCTGCCCATTGACACGCGAATTTTCCTTTCGAGATATTGGTAATTAGTAAGTGAGTATTCCTAATATCGGTAGTAGTGAAATGATGAACGAAAAAGTGAATAGTATAATAGTATTCATAGCAAATATTGAATAAACCTGTGTACACACCAGTGGAAGGACCTGTTTTGGACTGCTAGAACGATCAGTTCGAGTTCTGCTTCGCTTTTATGTCCTTCTATTGCTGATCATTTAGTATGGTTTATCAATCTTATCTACCTACATAACTATCTTTACAACTGAATGTGAAGTTGTATCAAAAACCATCAGCTATCTCGACTAGCTAGTTGCATTCATACTAGTAGTCGTTGACTCGAAACGCTCGCGTCTACATCGACCATCGAACGAAGTGCTGCCTCATTCTTTCTGGGTACTAATTGATTACAGGCCTAACGCTGATTACTTGATAGTTTCGGACGGGTACGATTTTTCTTTTCGTCATGCTTTTTTTTTCAGTTCAATTTTTTTGTATACTTTGGACATTCCCTAGTTCTCGGGGTATGTACCGCCTCTCGTCGGGTCGGGTTTGTTGTGTTTGTTGGGTACTTCCTTGGTTTTCCTTTCCTTCTGTTTAGTTTCTTTCTCTTTTTAAGTTTCACTATTGCACAGTGCATGAGCTTTGTTTCTTGGTTCAGCCTCGTTGTGTTCCATATTAGTCTCTACCAGTTGGGCTACGCACGCTAACGCCTGCACCCAATGAACACTACCGATTACCTACTACTTGTTGAAGGGTCAATATAAACAGTATCGGTAGAACTCACAAGGTTGGCGATTTATGGACAAAACTCAGACGGGACTCGAACCCGGCAGAGACTGAAGTTTTGTCCATAAATCGCCAGCCTTGTGACACTTTCGGAACGCGTACTGCGGCAAAATAATAGCAGTCAACAAAATATCAATATCGATAGGTTCCCATTCCATAACTGCCTTCTCACCGCGCTCACGTGTCATTCACACTCTTCATCGTGCCTACATGACTTTCGGAAGGATGCACAAACCGACACATAAACAGACACATAAAGCTGCCGCTTTATGAAGAGAGAGATTATTAGTTTCGCCTCGGTGCCGATGATGCACCCTTGTGTGCACAATGGAAAAAAATGAATGTGAATCGGCAGTTTTAGTGGAAATGTATTTAAATTATACGTTACATGATCGGTTGTCATCCTTGTCACTCGTTGTAAGGTTTAACGCCTTCGAGCGCACGAATTCTTCATTTCGAGCGCTTAAAAAGGCCTTAAGTATATCATCAATCATGTTTATACTTCCGGCGTTGGCGTCGGTCACACAACCACCCTGTCACGTTTGGTGATGGTTGCTTCTTGGTGGTCAACCAGTATATTCGCTGTAGGCAACAACGTGATGCTCCGCTTTTGTTCATGTTTGAAATTAGTTCGCTATTTCATTATAAACCTAATTGTAATAGTCAAGTAATGGACGACGTTGCAGAAAGACTCCCATTCTCATACAGACATATTCAGATTATGTGTTTACATCTTCCTTTCGCTACACGTCGTGGATTTCTCACGTTGGCTACCGTATGAATACAACACCAAAAATATCCTTCCAGTTCACTTCTCCTGAAGTCTTCACATGGGAGCGGGAGCAGAGGACGAAAAACCTTCGGAGCTTCTTCTAAAATGCTTGGACAATGGCCGAGTCGACGTGCTCTGCTCGATTCTTTCACAAATGAGTGAGATGGATATGGCTGAACTCAACGTTGCAAGCAAAATAACTCGAAGTTTTCAGAAAACAAGCCGGATTTCCACGATCAAGTTGATGTGCTGTGTTGCAATGAGGGAACACTTCTTCACCGTGCCGTTGAATTAGGTATTTTTCTTTTTTTTCTCTCTAATTTTCTTCTTTGTAAATGTCTCCATTAAAGGGGATGTGCAAAAATAGTTTAAATGGCTACGTTATTTGTCGAAAATAATTCATTAATTATTTTGTTTTTACTTAACCCATTGCGTACCGCAGTGTTTTGCGCTAGCTGCCGCATGTGCTCGGCGTTTTCTTCATAATCGACGTGGTTCACGGTGTGCAGCACCCGGCCACACAGAGCGACTGTTTGAGCGAATCGCAAAGTATGGGCTGTTCGAACTTCATTCAAATTCTAAGGTGATCTTGGACGAAAACGCGGCCGCGCAGAGGCAAAGGGGCGTGCTGCACCATGTGTAGTACACGGTACGCAATGGATTAAATTTGTATTCAGTATAGTAGGGCTTTTCCCAGCCGTCTTGTACGGCACTCTCGAGTTTTTACTTGTTCTTTTGACTACATAGGACAAGACTTCTTGCCCAATGTTTAATTAACCGTAATCCACTCTGATGTTTCTTCTCGAAACATTGAGTTTTATTTTCAAAAAAGTCTTCACTTCATCACAAACTCCTTTTAGACTCTGCCGATTTTGTTAGTGCTCTGCTGTCGAACGGTACCAACCCATGTGTGCAAAATGAAGAGGGAAGGACACCGTTCCAAATGTGCAAGTCAGACGTTGTGCGGAACGCTTTCGTTCAAGAAGCGCTTCGTGCCATCACATTGTCAAAGTATGTTCATATACAAAGCAGTGCATTCGGTCAAACTCGTACAAATTTTACTTTCCGTTATGCGGTTTTCACACCTTGGCTACTCCAGCCTGCTCCTGTATCTTTTCTTCTTGGCCTGTACTTTCTTTGCGTCCCATAACTCCTTCGTTCTCGGCCACCTTCTAAAATATCAAACTTTCAATTAGCTGGGTTGAATCTTTACAAGGGCGTACTGGACTCGCTGATAACACGGCCACCTTTGGTTGTGTGCGCCGGCTAAGCCGGTTTGGCAACCCATATAACTTGATGTCGAGGTTGTTTTTCGACTCGACAGTGTTCTACCCGCTATCAGGGGCCACAGGTTCATATTAGTGGGAAACCTCAAGAACCCTTTTTATTGCAAACAATGTTTTTGGAATATGCTTTTGACATATGGTAACGACGATGTTCATCACAGTCGCGGGAGTTTTATATTCGGTGGCGAAAAAAAGCGTCAATCGATACTTCATGTAACTCCATGTGTCTTCATTTCTTGAACTACTAACCTTCAGATGGTTACGTATGTGATTCTTTCGGAGGGGTTGGTCTCAAGAAAGAAGAGGGACGGGTTCAAGTCTGTGCTAGGCCAAAGTTTTGCCAATAGCTCGCCATCTTTGTGAGCCCTTCTCATTATGCTTTCAAAGAACACATGTCGCTTATGCCACTTGCTATTATTCTTATGCGCGAAGCCGGGGTTTCAACTTTCCGCTTGATTGCTGCGAGTTCCCGTTACACTGCAGAGGGCTATCCTCATGTAAAGAGGCAGCATCAGTTACGGACGGGTGTCGGATCTTCCCTAAGAACGGCGTGCCGCGCTCACTATACACGATCGCGCGTTGTGAAGGGGTAATTGAACTCACAGCAGAAGGATACGGTGATTGCCACAAAGCCATCATAGCTTGCCGGGTGAATTCGCGATAGAGTTGCCGCCACCCATCATGCACAGATACGGATGAAGGGAAATTAGACCGGATGGATCGTAATCTCAACCTCCTCCTTCTGACTTTAGTCTCTCAAATAAGCACAGAAGTTCATCTGGAAAGAAATGAATGGGGCTATACGCCAGGTGTATGGATATATCAAGAATAGATTTCGATTCCCATGTATTGATTAGCGCTCCACCCATTAGAGCTTCAATCCCTCCNCCCCCCCCCCCCCCCCCCCCCCCCCCCCTCTTCTCCTCCCTCAAGGGCCCAAAGTGTTGTTCTGTCGGTATGTATGTACGTGTTTGATCGGAATTTCATAAGATCCTTTTAACAACACATTAACAGTAAGCAGTAAGCAGCAGTCGGTAAGCATCGGGATGGCCCAATTATGCCACGCTTACATCCTTTCCGTGAGAATTCGGTATGCTTGGTTAACCCACAGCACTTCTCTTCGAAGTACAAAAAACATAATTTTGATACTGAATCTCTGGAAATTACAAGAATTCAAGAACCGATTTGCAGTACATCATTGAAGCACAACCTAAAATCAATTTTTGATAAAGCTGATGGTTATGATTATGTGATCTCGTTTCGGTCTTCACGAGAATATCGGCAACTCAGGATACAGTTCTTTCCTCTCTTTCCTAGTAACCCAATCGAGCGATATCTTTATTGGTGCTTATGTGTGCCTATGGTCATTATCTTTTGTTCTTACTTTCCGACTCTGCCCACTTGTGATACCCTTACTACCCACATTAGTATGCCTTTGCTCCACTCTTTATACAATGTACATAGCGGCTTCAGTGGTTCTATCCAGCTGTGTGCTCCTCTTCTGCTTTTATCAGTCATAATTATTTCATTTGCGAACTCGTCATATACCACATTTCATACTCCAGGGATGAGCTGAAATATAACATTCTCTCACCAACCTTTCCATTTACGCGGAAAGGACTCCCCTCGCATTCTAAGGCTCATGATCTGTCTTCACTCACTACTAACCCTTTGACGACAATGGCACCCACCGTTGGGTGCCACTTTGACTAGCGCTCGGAAAATTGGCACTCAATTTCGGGTACCACCATACTTTCTTGTTTCTTACCAATTGCTAAATTCAGTAAGCTAGTAAGAGAATTTTCTCCTGGGACAGTGTCACCCACCGATGGGGGCCAGTCCGCGCAAAAAGAGGGAGCGTGGTCCCTTGGGCGCGTCACGTCGAAATCCGCATTGTCGTCAAGGGCTAACTCATCCTTTCTCTCACATGCGTTTTGAAATAGCATCTCTATAACACATTCCAAACGAATGTTTCGCACTGCTAGGCTTTACCGCACCGACGTCTTAAAACATGTTGAAACAATCGTCCCCTCAAAAGTCAAAGAAAGAAGAAGAACAAACTGCTCATTTGACTTTCTACAATAGAGATCAGATGCCAAAACCCTAGATGAAGTTGGTTCGCACCAGGCGCCGTGCCAGGCATTTATGATATACCGCTAATCATTTAGGCTAGCCGCTTTGTGTTCTTTTTTATTCACAAGATAAAAAATTAATTGTCTCGTTTCTTAGGTGTGATCAATCTATTGGGCTTTCTTGACAATAACAAGCAGTTAATACTTACTTCTACTTCTTACTTTACTTCTTACTGACCTGATCATGGGCTTGAGCTTCTCTTACCCCACACTGATCAGCCCATGGGTAATAGATGATTTCCTCGGCGCTACTTGGTCCTGTCGCCATCATAACCTACAAATTGTGAATGGGTCATTTTATTTCCTTGCCTTCATTTAGATGGGCTACCACTCCCAGGAGCGGTGAAGGCTTTTTCTTTTGCAGTTATTTTGACTGCAATAGTCTGCACGTATTTATAAATGTAAACTTGTTCACCTGCACATCAAGTGGGATTCTCGACTTCCTATCGTTCATATTTGCGGCAGGGCGCTTGGATGTGGCAGATGTGAGATCTCCTTCTGGAATTCAATCACAGTGACTAGTGTTTTATTATTTTCCATTTGCAACATGCAAAGATCGAGAAATGGCATTCGCTTTATGGGAATAGCAGCTCCTCTCCACCTCAGTGACTTAACTGTGGGTGGTGCCAATGTCATCGCTCAGTCAACTACGATTCTTTTTTGGATTAATAGTAAGAATTGTAGTGGTCGCTTTGAACCGATAACTCAGTACTCGTTTTTTTTTTTTACAATACGGAATGCGGCTATGGGTCTCAGCTTGAACGAGGAGTCTTGATGCACCGCAACCACCCGTCTCGTACCCTTGGTCAAGGTCCTTTCTCGCTGCATTTTTTAGTCTGACGGGTAAAATGTTTGTACATTCAGAAAAGGTATGGTGGAATAAAATTTTTGTCTTTAGTATTGTAAGTCTATTGCTTTTTACTCACAATAGTTCATTCTAAGAATCGGGCGCACTTACTGAATTTTCGTTCCAATACGAGAGGTGTTGGAAATCGAGAGGTGTGGCAATAAAAGTAAAAGGGACTGTTGGTCACTGCCTCACTTTTCATAAAAATTTTTGTTTCAATTGTGTTGCCCTGCTTATGCATCCTTACATCATGACAAACGTCATTTTTAAGGTTTGGTAGCATATGGAAAGAAGCTGAATGTGAAAAAGTAGAGTAGCTCCTACTGTAGCGCACTGTTTGGTGTTGGGTATAATGAAAACCGCAATCAGCAGTAGCTTGCTTATAGTTCCGCGACACCTCATCGTAAGATATGGCAGTCGCGCCATTTCAGGCTCTACCTGTAGCTTGAATCAACTGGAGGTAAATACCGTTTTTGGAATGGTATCTAGCGAAATCCCGCATTCCTTCCCCTCCTCCTTACGATCTGTAATGTTCTGCCACAGTTTTGCATCCTTTCAGCTTTTATTACGGTCTCGAAAACTTCAAAAACGCAAAAGACTACTTGTCTTGCTCCGTATGATTGAAAGTCAAGAGAATTCTGACTTTTGTTAAGTCTTTTTTAGGTCTGGGTCTAAAGTTTTTTGCACGATTAGCCCACATAACCTACGTTCACTCCCTTGCTTCTCTAGTAACTATAATACAACAATATGAACTGTAATCACTTTCTTGGGGCTATGTAAAAAACCACTGTGAACAAGGTTCAAACTTGCCTAAGATCATATTGATCACAGTTCCATCTTCTTTCCCTTCCTGATTTTTGGATGGATTTTTAAGGTTCTCAGATGAGCCTCCCTTTGTCATATGTTATTTATTTCACTGTGTTGTTTTTCTGAAAGGTTCTCTCAGTAATAATACTTCAGTCTGACTTTGTGAACACTCACCTCTTCGCCTCAACTGCTTAGAAGAATGAACACCGCTACGCTCCAACTGCTTCAAATACTGAATACTGGTTGAATAGGAATGTCCGAAGATTATCGCTAGAACCTTTATGATGCTGTATGATATGATGAATTAAACCACTGGTCGTTTTGCAACAGACGAGTAACCTTTTGTTGGCTGAAACATTCATAAGAGATATAAAATAAGGGGGCTGGAGTGTAATTGAGCCTTACAGGGAGGCAAATTGCCATTTATATGCGATGTAGCGTAATATCACGAGAACAACATGAAAGACCTTCTTGAAAAGTCGCAGTTTGTTGGAAACTTGACCAAGATAACGTAGTAGTGTGAGGGGTGAGGGTGAGCAATCAAGAGCAATCAAAAAGGTATTGGACGAACTATGTTTCTGAGAGTTCCGAGTTCTGTGGGTTGTTTGTTAGGTCTGCTTTTGTTGCGGCGATGCAGTTTTGCTCCGCCAGTGTGCACAGACGGTCAAATTGTCAAGCTGCGGACGTTTGTTCGCAAATGATGAGATCATTTTGAAGGAGGCTAGCTCATTTTAGAACGGAATGGGATGTAGGTTAAAGGCACCGTTCACGATAAAAAAGTTATTGAGTTCTTACCTTATTAATTCTCAGCGGCCCCCATGGGTTGTAGAAGGGACCCTCTCACTACCCCAATCTCGACGTCCAGGGCATAGTGGCGAACGCAACAAAATGTACATGCCCGTCCGTGGCAATTTGCCAACTACGCAAGGACTCGCTGCG